AGAACTGAATCTTTTTCAATATCTATCTTTATTTTTGGCAACATGGTTTGTGTCCTTTTATTCTATTTCTGTGTGTTCTGCAGTGAAGTTGTAGAGGTTTCTTCATATCAGTTCTACACATTTTTAGTTATTTTTAGGAATTCTCACTTCTGGTGCTATTGTAAATAGAGATATTTTGCACACAGCGTCTCTCTTTAGATTGTCATGACTGAATTGGGTGACCATGAGGTTTATCTATAATTTGCCTACATGCTTGTACAACTAGTGCCCTAAGATTCTTTACACTATAAAGAAAATATGTTTTGTAAACTTGAAGTGATCAGAATAGTGTGATATGACTGGGAATTCATTCCAGTGGGAGGTTTGGGAATCTAAGTGGGAGGAGAGTTCTGCCCTTTATAGCCATGTGACCCTGAAAAATTGCACTTAATCTCTGTGACCAGTGCCCCACCAGTCAGAATGGACACCAGTTGGTATCCCCACCATTGCTTCCTGGTTGAATAGTCATCTTCTCAGACTGGCATGTAGTAAGTGCTTAATAAATATTAGCTATAACATTAATAATAAAACAACTTATAATATGACTAAATAATTGGAAGAAATGATCATCCTCATTACCTTGGTGGCAAATAGCACTTAGCATCCCTTTGAAATTAAACAAGGTTGGATGTGTCTAAATATCTCTTTTTCCCCCACATTAAGATCTCATTGCCTAATAGTGTTTGCATTTCTGATCTGTTTTTCCAGCTATCAGCATATGTCTTATTAATATTATGCTTGTTAAAACTCTTTTTAGAGAAAATTATTTCTGGCTTGATGTTAATAAAATTAAGTAAAATTTACAAGACCATAAGCTAAAGATTGTGTTATGTCAGATCATGTGTGCTTCACCAGATGTAATACAAATGTTGAGACAAATCCATGCAGATTGTCAAGGGACCATGGCCAGATATAGGAAGCACCAAAAGAATAGTAGAGAAAATACTGGGATAGCTCAGAGGGTGAAGGATCTAAGTTAGTCTGCTAAGTCCAGCAAAAGCTTCTTGGAGGAGATAGGATTGAAAAATATTGCAGAATGGGTTGAATTGATGAGGAAGGAAGGGAGACAGGTGTTCCTGGGAAAGGAGAATAATTGAAACAAAGTAGAGGTCATATTATGTTTGGAGAGCAGATAGTCGATCTGCTAGAATAAGGTTTTTCAACCTCAGCATTTTGGACATTTTGGTCTGAATGATTATCTTGTGTATTGTAAGATGTTTATTAGCTGGATCCCTGGTCTCTACTCCAGAAATGCCCATGGTACCCCTCCACTGTGACAACTGGAAATGCCTCCAGATATTCAGATACTGCCAAATGTTCTCTGAGGGGCAAAATAACCATCCTGCCCCATCTCCTGCCATTAAGAACCACTATGCTAGAAAAATGGATTTGCATTGAGAAATAAAGCTCAGGAAATAGACTAGATTCAGATTGCATAGGGCTTCAAATACCAGGCAAGTGGTTTAGACTTGTCACTCTCAGTAATGGAGGGCATTCATCTTTTTCTCCTAGGGAGTGACATGATATATATGTTTTATGAAGATTTATTCACATTTGGTACTTTCTTTGAGATGCTCAAGTGCATTTCTGTGCACTCCCTGTCAATAAATAAGCTACCGATTTTTCTCATGATGGATGCAAATCTTCTGAAGCATCCTGATGCTGGGTTCCATTCTCTAATGAGAAATTATGGAACTGTAGACTTCTAAAAAGTGTATACCTAATATATGCTTTTAAAAAATAATACATTTTTGTTTACATTTTAATTGATACAATAGCATTAGAATTTTTTGTTATACTAAGGATTTAATCATTTTAATGTAATGCATTTTATTCTTTCTTGTCATCTAATTTTTGCATACATGAAAGCAGTTTCTCAGAAAATTATAGTCATATTATGTGCCCATTTTATATCTTTTTTTTCAGTTATACCTAACTTAAACAAGTTTCTGTATGTGTACACAGTATTGAGAAAGATCATTTTGATGGTGGCAGAATATTTCACTGAAATGATAAATATACTCATTTATACTAAAGAATTACGGAAAAGTTGGAGTGGAGAGGCCCCCGAAATGTTATTTGGTTTAGTGAGTTCTCCAGCGGTACTCCTGGAAGCTCTGGTGGGGTTCTGATAAATTGCCTCAGGGATTACCTGGTTCACAGAGAAACCTGAGGGATGCTTAGCGATCATGCCCTTGACCCTATTCTGTTTGCTTCAGCCAGAACTACTGAGCTTCTTAATTAGTTTTGAATATTAAGCTTCTGAGTAAGATTTCTTTTGAAGATAGAAAACCATTCATTAAGGAAAAAATTGTTTACAGAATCAAGACTGGTCTTCTCATTTTACACAAGCTGCATCCCATCAGGGTATCTTTCCAAGGCTCATACCACCCTGAAATAGCCAACTTCATAGTGTAGACACTGCTTGAATGGTTATAAAGTCCTTGTCAAATAAACCACTGTGTTAGTGAGGACTACCTGGTGGCCTTCTGTCAACCAGGTGAGTGAGAAGATATCTGTCCACGCTCACATGGACATGGTTCAGGCAAGTTAAGTGCCATTTCATAGAGCCAGGTGTGACGGGCTGAAGGCTCTGGTGATGTCATTGGAAGAAATGGATCCTTTCATGTACTTGGTGGCAAATGGTACTGAGGACCATTTAGTCACACCCCAGCTTGTTCTGTTCTCAAAGGGATACCAAACCCAGGAAGTTCCTTTAAGCAGGTAGGCTTTTCAGCTGTCAGCATTTTGCTTTTTAAAGGCAACAGTTTTCCTCCTGTGTGCATGTTTGCGTATTTCTGAATCTAGCAACTGGCATATTCTAACACCTTGATCCTCTTTGCTTACAATCAGGGACAAAATTTTGATTTAAGAATCCATGCTTTTTCTCCTCAAATTCCCCTAAATCAGGACACGTTCTCCCTCTGTAGGCATCTCACTGGCCTCTGCTCTTTGGGAAAACAGCCCGCGTGATGGATTAGGGACAAGACCCGCCCCTTCTCATCTCCCCGCGGCCCGGCCATGATGTTGTATTCTCCAGCCTTCTCCTCTAACAGTGTGGAAGAGAAGCTGTCAAGGAATTTGGGCAGGCCTGTGCACAACGGAGGCACCAAGCGCCCCGGGGGGAGCCCTGCTCGGCCTGCTCAGGATTTTAGATGGATGCAAGGAGACTGAAGCGTTGAAAAGGTCAGACCCTGAAACCTGTCTGACTTATAAAAGGCACCAAAGTAAGCGGTAATTGCCAAGGAGCCCGGCCAAAAGCCCTGGGAGGCGGAGCGGCAGTTAGCCGCGGTTAAAACGGGGTGGCCATGCACTTGTCCAAGTGTTGCTGGGAATGAGAGGTCCGAGATCCCGCTTCACGTGTCTTAGTATTACTGCTCCCCTGCATAACAAGTGTCATTAAAAGAAGTGACAGTGAAATAGAACAAATGGAGTTGGGTTTGATGACTATTTTCTACTTTCATGGGAGAGGAGATTTAGCATATAAATTACATAATGGGGAGCATGCCTCCCCACTTCCCTCCCTCCCTCTTTCCCTCCCCCTTTCTCTCTCCTTCTGTCCTTCCTCCCTTCCTTCTTTTTTCTTTCTTGTCCTCCTTCCTCCCTCTCTACCTCTTTCCCCTCCTTCCTTCCTTCCATTTTAAGTGTGAGATTTGCTAGGAGTTTTCAAGAGCTGAGAGAATCTTGGTAAGTTAGAGAAAAATCCGTGACCTGTGGTGAAGTGTGCTGGGAAGAGGGCTTCTGGGTACAAATTCTGCTTCTTTTACTGAAATGGCAGTCAGGCCTTGGGGCCCTCAGGTTTCCTCTGGTTTTCTGTCTTCAACTGTAGAATTCAAAGGGCTAACTGAAAGGTCTTGGAGAGCAGTGCTTTCCTCCCAGGAGCCCATGACCTTCTTGCAGCCTGTTGGTGAGGGAGGGAATCCCGTCTGCTCCTCTGATAATTAGGGAAAATTTTGTTTCTCAAATGATAGTCAAGGGAGAACGTGCAGTGGATTGATCTGAAGTGCTTGTTCAAATCGCAGATTCCTGGACTCCAACCCCAAAGCTCTTGATCTGAATCTCTAGACTTGACCCTCAAAAATCTCCATTTTAGCACTCTCCCAGGTAATCCTTTGCCCATTTGGTTTTAGAAACCAAAGGAGGTAGTTAGGAAGTGGTTTTGAAAACTAGGGAGGCAAATTAGTGGGGTACCAGTTGTCATGCTTTGGGACCCTTTACCAAAAACCCTCTCCTTTCTCTGCAGTACTTGACGTCCATAGTTAAAGAGTAGTTGCAACCAGTGAAGACATTGCCACTCCAGGCATCTTGTGAAATGCGTATACATGCTAAATGAGATAATATGGTCAAGTGTGCTTCAAAAGCTGTAAGACATTATTAAAATGCTTTGTAACTGTAAAATGCTGTAGAGATGCTAGTCATTATGAAAATAATGCCTCCAGTTTTTATTAACACTATGGCATGAGGGAGGTTATTGATTTTATCTATGTCCATTTATGTGTACTTACTGAGCAATTCCATTCAAGAGATGTGTTTGAGCACCCTCTTTGTGAACTGTGTATCCAGGTAAGGTGATATAAAGGACAGTAGATGTGGGTTGTACCAATTCTGAACTCTCTTAAGTAATATAATAGAATTATACCTCCAAACCCTTCGCCAGGTATCTTTAGGGTGCCTTGTGACTATATGCAACAGTTACTTCCTCAGTCCCTCAATGGGAGGAAGTGACTCGGTTTCTCCCAGTTTAGCAGATGGGAGACAAGCAGCAACTTTAAAAATGCCTGCTGGGTGGATGTGCCTCTTTTGCTTTGTTGTGTGCTGTCTGTGGCCCCTCAGCGCAGGCTCCCTGATAAACATATGAAGTGTGGCTAGGCCCACACCTCAGTAAGGGGCCGCTCTCCACTGGATTCCCAGCTTGGAGCACAGCATCCCGTCAAGCACAACCTAGACAAGCCAATCCCCAGACAGATTCTACATGTATAAGCAAAATAAGTAACTATTGCTGTAAGCCACTGAATTTTTAGATGGTTTATTGTGCAGCAAAAACTAATTGATACAGTAGGACAAAGTTGAGACAATGAACAAATGTCTGATATAAAAAGGACAATGGTGAAATGCCATGATGGAGGTACAGCCTGTGATAGAGGGGCTCGGGGCTGTGGAATCAGTAAAGTCTTCATGGAGGAGGTGGCATTTGAGAGGAGCCTTGAAAGATGGATTCAATTACAACAAGCAGACCTTATGTGTGTGCTCATGGGCTTTGTGGTGTGATGTACTGGCAGACATTCGAGCCAGAGGAAAGAGCAGGAAGAGAGCTTCAAAAATGGCAGAGTGTGGAGTGTGTTAAGAAAATTGTTCATAGTTCAGGCTGTCAGGAAGTTCAAGTTCAATGCTTGTGGGAAAAGAGAAGCCAATAAGATTGGAAAAGAAGATTAAAGTGATAACTTAGAGGTTTTAAATGCCAGGTTGAAGATTTTGCAGTTAATACTGTGTACCCTTGAAGGGTTCTGCTCAGGGCCAGGGCATGCTCAGGACTGGCCTTTAGGAAGGCCATTCTTGCAATGGGATAAAGGTCAAAACATAGAAGGAAGAACTGAAGACCAGCTGGCCTTTTAAGAGGCTATCGCTGGGGGCAGCCAGTACTAAAAAGAGGAGAAGCAAGTCCAGGAAATTCTAAAAAATGTTGCTTTCCAGTTAAAAAAGGAAAAGGACATCTTGAAGAATAGAAAATAAATCCAAATCCTTTTCTGTACTTAGAGTATAGTTTCCTATCTTTATGATACCAAAAAAGTCTTATTTTCCTTGGAAATAAGTTAAGAAGTTATAGTGACCACAGATTTATAGACTTTACAAATAAAATTTTTAACAAGTGTTCAAATTCAGCATGATTTTTACACACTCCGTGAAAGGCCGTGGTCTAGACTTAGGTGTGATCTCCCCGGTATAAAAAGAGCCATTGCCCCTGTGTGCTTTTATGTTTATGTATTTGTGTTTTGTTTTGCTTTTTCACGTGGGTGGGTGTTGTAGGCGGTGTTCCCTTGCTAAGTAGACTTTGAAACGGGCGTTTCTGCACAGGAGTTTTTCACTGGGGAGGGGCGAGGGGAGCAGTGCTGGGCAGGGCAGAGGCGGGGTTACAGCTAAGTCACAGCAGCTGACTCTGCGGGAGCTGTGTACTGGGGTGGCTCTTCAGAGATGTCCAGTCATGAGCCCAGGAACTGGGTCCTCACACCTCCACACTGACCAGCCATGAGGTGTGGGCTACCACTAAGGCAAGGATGTGACTTTGATGAGGTGGCTGTCATCAACTGTGGAAAATGCCCAGAGAGCAACTCAGCTGAGGGTCATCAGCCATCCACACTTGCAGCACTAGGGAGTGAATGCCTAGGCTGGAGCAGGGTGTGCACCATTGTATCCACTACAGCAGGGAGAGAGAGGTACTCTGGATCCTTGGCCTTGGTCTTGGTCCTAACAGGAAAATTAAGTTTGATAATTACAACAATAAATAGCTATACAAAAATAAATAACAATGCAAAATGATAATAAATGTGTATATAAACAATAACAATGACAAGTTATCGTTTATGGAGGACTTAACATTTTGCCAAGCACTGTGCTAAGTCCATAGCACCCATTATTGCAACTCTCTTTTTGAATGAGCATGCAGGTAGAACAATGCAGGGGCCCAGTGTGTTAGGTCGGCCACAGACTCCCTAGGTGTGAATCATGGTTGTACTTCATATTAGCTGTGTGACCTTGGGCTCCCAGTGCCTTAGTTTCTTCATTCGTAAAATGGGGTTAACATCAACAGTGTGTCCCTAAGTTTGTGGTGTTTGGAAAGCCGGAAAATAGTGGGGCTGGTCTTTCTGAGTTAAAGCCCATTCTGTCAAGTTTAATTATTGCTCTTTGTGGAAGGGTAGGCCAGGGAAGGATGCTGCAACAGGGACTCTGCTCAGCAAGAGGGTGCTAGTTATTTGCTGAGTGGGAGAGACAGGGCTAACAGTGCAGAGAAGGACCGCAGTGTGATAGGCAGAAGGGTGCAGAAGACTGCCCGGCTGTCAGTGTTTACATGCCTTTCCCAGGCAAGGTCGAACCCTGTCACAAAACAATAAAACCTAGGGAGTCAACACATCATTATTCTTTTGTACTAAGCACCATCCTTGGCAATTTGTCCAAGGAAGCTCCATGCTTTTTGACTTCCATTGTGCCACAGACTGTGTCTGGGTAGATGCTTTTATTCTGGCCCACCACAGTACCAGGCTCCATTGGGCACATTTTGATAGAGATGGAGCAGTGTTTCAGCCTCAGAAATCTACCCTGGTATGGAGAAAATGGAAGTTCCTATGGCCAGGATCCTCACCTGACCATAAACTACTTGATGATGTAATTGGCCTATTGCTAGGCTACTGCTTCCACGCCTGTTAGCAATGAGCATTATTGGCTGAGTCACTATATAAAGAGCTCTGCCCAGTGCTCCGGGTGGAGGCAGAGATGGAGGTGGGTTATGAACCTGAAGACTGCTGGATGCAGATGTGATTTTAGTGCTCGACCTACCACCATGAGAATATAACCAGATACAAACCCTTTTACCCAAAGAACATTCCACTGTCATTTCCTGGTCTCAACAAATCCACAGTGAACTTTCCCAGGGCTGAGATCCTCAGGCAAGACACCTGGTTATACAAAGAAGCTCGTCACTCCAGGTATGATTGCTGGACTGGCAAGTGGGTTAGATCAGAGAGAAACAGCAGCAGGGGGAGGTGACCACAGAGAAACTTACTGTTGTATATCATTAATCACTAATTGCTGAATGATTTTATTATATGGCAGCCATAAAATATCACTTGAGGTTTTACAGCCAGTTTTAGCTTTAAGAAAACAATTCCTTATGTCAAAATGACTATTAAATTAAGTGATTCCATATTAAACATCCTATGGACTTGAAATGATTTATGGGGCTGTGTGATGAGTAAGAACCTTTTCCTTCTGGCTGCTCAGAGGAAACCAGCAGCTGTTTCTTGAACAGCTGTTGACCTTGGGAACCCAAGAAAGGCATGCTGGTTTCTAAGAGACACCTGGATGGTTAAGGGAAGGAAGTCTTGAGAAAACAGATATAGCACCCTCATTTCATAGACAGGGAAACTGGGGCCTGGAGAGACAAAGTGACTCAGCCAGAACACTGTGTGACAGTGGTGCAACACTGTATCTAATATGCTGCTGTGACTAGTGATTATGTATCTTTCCTGTTATTCCCAGCTGTTCTTGTCATCCCTGTATTATGAGTGATTAAAAAATCTTGGAAATCTCTTGTGTGAATCACCTCAAATATCATCACCTCTGAGATAAAGGCGCAGTACCTTCCAGTGACACCTGTTTGCATTTGTTGGCCTGAATTTGCTTTTACATGTTTTAGGTGGTGGTAGGCCCAGTAAAATGCCCTAAAATGAAATTGTGTGGGCCTTGCCATGTGTTTCTGGCAGCAGTTTCTCATTTGGAGCACTGTGGGGACACCCACTACATACCAGCCACAGCCCCTTCCTTCAAAGAGCTTATAGTCCAGCTGGAAGACCTGATCTAAGGCATCAAATGCCCAGGCAGTTACCTGTGTGATCCAGGTAGTTTGTGCTGTGGGAGACCAAAGGGGAGTGCAGTTCTCACACGGGATGGCACGTGTGCTGAGTGCCAAGATGGGACCTGGCACAGCCATAAGGATAGAGGGAATGAGCAGCAGTGGAGGTTCAGAGGCAGAAATAAATGTGATGTTTGGAGCGTTGAGGCACCCAGGCTCTCCAGCACACTGGGTGATCCTTGATGGGTGGATGTGGTCTAATTATGAAGGGCTTAAACCCCAGGAGGTGGAGTTGAAACTCCTCAAGCTCATGTCTTTGTTTATTTTTGCTGACTTCTCTCATTAACTGCTCATGCGTATATATCTCTGTCCTCCCCTAGGTTATAAACTTTTTCTAGGCAGCAATTCTGCCCGATTATCTCTGTATACATTACCTCACATAGTGTTAGGTGCGCAAATCATTGCAGGGAAGAAAGAAAGATGGGAGAAAGGAAGGAAGGGAGGGAGGAGGCAGGAATGGAGGTGAAGGTCGGAAGGAAGGTGAGAACTCTCTTGCCTGCTGTATTGATAAAGGGCCACATGAAATAAGCCTGGAGAAGTTACTAGGCTAGAAGAGCTGAGCTGCCACCCTGGAGAAACTTTAGCAAGTCCTGGTAGCCTGAGGAGCCAGGCTCAGCCTTGTGGTTTTCCCAGTGCCCTCAGGACAGCAGCTCTGGGCCTGCTGCCAGCCCCCACGGTGCCTTCCCGTGGCCCCAGAGTGCTACCCTAGCATTACCTCTGCACTCAATCGATTCTTTCAGCAAACAGGTTCTGGGAGCCAGGCACTGTGCTAGGCACCTGGATATGCTAGACAAAATAGACATGGTCCCTGTGTCCTTAACACTTGTAATCCAGCAGGAAACAGACCAAAAAATCAAAGGTAATTGCTGTGTTAAAAACAATAAAGGACAGTTCTAGGCTGCCATGTGGATGTAAACTGAGGGACTCAGCATAATGTGGGAGTCTGAAAGGCCTGCCTTACTAGTGTATATATAACATGGAACCCAACTTAGTCAGATATACAAATATACTTAAGAAATCAAAATATACTGGGTACATGTAATGAGAAGTCTTCTCGAGGTTTGCCTGCCTTAATCTACACATGTGTGAATATAAGAAGGTTCCATAGTTGTGACTGTATCAGTTGTTCTGGTACTAACCTAATTCTCTTGCTAAGAAATTCTGTGTTTGTCTGAGTTGCCTCCTCCCCGTGCACTTCAGCTTTCTTACCTGAAGAACAAAAAATTTGAGTAGTATCATTGGGTGGTCCAGGGGTCAGTGCTGGTCCACAGACTGGTACTGGTCAGTCAGTGATGAGATAAATATAGATATGTACATCCACTGAGAGTCCTTAGAAACTTGTATAGTAATT